AGACTGCAAACAAACCAGATATAAGAACTGTCCTCTGAGTATCAGCTCCCTGGTTATTGGTCTGTTGAACAAGATAACAAGGTTTACATTGAAAGTGAATTTTGAGATCTGTTTGTAATAGAGATCTATACAGAGTGGCTACATCTTCTGTCATATTTTATTATTTAATATTTCAATATATTATTGAAGGATTAAGGATGTCATTAACTTTAATACTCAACAGAAAATATAAAAAGGTGTATGGTTCTGTATTACACAGAAAACTGAATGACAATAAGATTATAATATGCACTTCTAATGTTGTTATTAGCAGAAGTGGAGGACACAGACTAAAAGCCTCGACTTAACTTCTACTTGGTATTCATGATTTGAGACTTGACTTCAGACTTCATACAGATGACTTAAAGGACTCAACTTTTTTATCTACATTTTTTAGATATTGAGAATTGATTATATGTGCCTGCTCTGTTACAATCACTTAGCTGCCAGTGTGTGCAAACAACCTATCCCCTCAAGACCATGTCCGACTCACAGGAAGTAGTTTGTTGGTATAAGCCTGCCATTGCCGACTATTTCAGTGAGCATCCTCCTCCACTTCCACTATCTGCTATCAGCTTGTTACCGTTTTCAAAGTCCCTGTTGCTACGTAAAACAACAACAATAATCTCCGAGCTAGTGAGCTGAAAAAGGTTACCCTCAATCTAACCTAACGGTACAAACGGAAACAAGCAAGCGTCAAATGTTCCCATTTGAGAATCTGGAACCATCAATGGTTTGTGCTTTTTGCTATAGAAAAATACCTTATACAATGAATTGATTATTGATTAATTGACCAACTGTTTCTGCTCTATAAAGGTTACAACAATGTGACATCTCTACTGCTCATGTAATTTATCAGGTTTATCTCCCTAAAATTTCCCTACTCCCATTATTTCATATAATTGGCAAACTTTCTTGTGTCTAACCTCAGGCAGTAGACGAGGAAAGGAAAGAGTTTCAACTTAACCAGGAGTTCAGGTGCTGAAAGCATGAATATCAAAATGAGAGAAGAGTCTACACCAAAAATAAATGCCACTTTCCAGCCGGCTGCCCACAACCACAGCCCGTCCCTAAAGATTAAATGTACTGTACCACAGTATCTTAAGGCTAGTTTCTTATTGAGTGTCGCACAACCGTAAATAAGTCTTCATTAGAAGTGAACCAAAGAATTCCTACAGTGACGGGGGGGGGGGGGGGGGGGTTTACACTGTGTGAGCATTCAAACATTTAATTGCTGGAAACCAAACATCTGGGAATAAGGCCAGGTGAGCTGGCAGAGTTGCTAGTGGCGAACAGAAGAGCAGATGAAGTAGAACATGTCTGTGTCTTGTCTCAGACAGCGAGGATCCAGTCGTGTTCCAGTCACCGCAGAAGCACTGGGAACACTTAGCCTGCAAACCATTTTGTTATGAGACCAAAGAACACCAGTCATTCAACAGAATCAGCTTTCTGGATGTCATCATGTGCCTTAATAGTTTTTGGAAGGTATTGTTGAAAGTGAATCCACTGTTTACAGAGGGTTTTCAAAGTCATTAGGGGTTGAAAAATATTCATAACGTGAACACTGCTTGGGGAATTTTGAGACCTCAAGAGGAAAATCTTGTTACTCCCTGGAAAAAGTTAAAACTTTTAAAAAGATGTTAATACAATACAGTGTGTGGTAACCTGTTCTACCTTCAGAGCTTTGTAAAACCCCTGTAAAACTTTACAAATGTTCACAACTTCTGAACAAATACCTTTAACACAACATAAAATAATTTCTTCTAAGTTTAACAGGGCTTCCAGCTGTTTCATTATATTAACGCAGAACATCTCTCTATAGTATCTCTATAAACCCTTCTGCTAATTCTCAGACACAAACATACCACTCCAGACACACAAAAAGTGTGATCCTCACAACCATATAATCAAGTCATATAAAAGTAGTGGCTTCAACGTTGCAGTCTGCCTGACAACAGATAGATATAATTACAAAACAAAACCAGCTATGTTTAATGGTTAACTTGTGAAACACACCACATTGTTTCCAAGGACTTTGCGAGAGTGGAAACAATGGCATGCCAAAGCAGATAGATTTAAACACACACACACAGAGAAGAAGCTTTCGATTGGACTATTTCTGATTGTTGAGGATGTTTGTCTTCTTTGTGTGAGTAGAAACAAAAGAGTTGGTTTTGGGTGAGGATCTGGCCTATACATTTGGCCAATATCAAAGGAAATGTGGATGTTTTGAATCCCTGTATATAATGAGGCAAATAAAAATACACATAACCCACATAAATAATCATTTAAATTAGTGTCTCAAAAAGTGAAGAAGAACAAGAACGTGAATAGATTCACACACAGTATCAACTGTGTGTATATATATAATTACTGTGCCACAGAGCTCTATTGCTGCCCGAAATCTATAAAAAAAAAAATACATCAATCAGCCACATTCTTGCACGTTCCGTCATTAACGTTAACATGGGCACTGTAGATTATTTTGAATCAATCCACATACACTGGTCTGCTGCAAATAAATACTAACTAGTGCACCAAATGTCCCCACCAAATGCAGAATTTACTATTTATCTTACTCCTGTTTGTTAAAAACTAGAGTTTGAGAAAATGACTTTATAAAAAAAAAAATGACACATGTGCAACCTACTTAATTTAAAAACAGCTGAGAGGCACAGACAGGCTTGGAAAGTATGAAAATACTGTGAGACGGACTAACATATTTTTGGTTTTTCAAGGGAACATCAGATGATTAACAAAATATAGAACAATACCAGCATCCTTTCATTTTTATTGTACCAAAAGCCATTAAAAACTGAACTGAGGACGACTCGTTTATCTTGCCTTACATGTCTTGTCCACTCTGTAAATCATTACTTAAGTTTTACAGTGGGTGGTCTTCCACAAACTAGACAAAGGCTATTTAAAAACTGTGCTGGAACAGAAGTAATACATTTGTCAGTGATACAGAGACAACTTAGGAAACAATATAGGAAAATGGCCTTAATCTTAAACCTTTCTATCCGGCCGTTCCTTGCCTGCCACCACTGACTCTCTAATCAGAGCTCCTTTCACACAGTGGGAAAGTCAATAACAGCATACAATCAGTAAACAAATTCAGCTATTTCTAAAAGGCCCTCTGCATTCATTTCAGTTGCGGTAATTTGAATTATTCTTGCGTGTAACACTTAAATTGTGTAAGACAAAGGCCGTGTCAGAGACACAGAAGAACTTGAGACAAAGGGAGACCTGGAAAGTGAAGCCTGCCTTCACACAGTAACAGAAGGTACTATTTCGAATCTGGATATACATTATTTTTACTATCATTACCTCCACCAAGGGGATTATGTTTTCAGTGCCGTTAGTTTGTCTGTCAGCAGGATTAGGGAGAAACTACTGGCCCGATTTTCATGAAATTTGGTGGAAGGCTGTAGCCTGTGCCAAGGAAGAATAAATTACAGTTTGGAGCAGATCCGAATCACGCGCAAATACACAAACTATTCTTCACTTTCATTAACATGTGAGATAAATCAATTATACTACAGACATATACACTGGTTGCAGATTTTGCTTCATATATCATAGAAGACTGGACTATTGGCCTTGATGGAAGTCTCCGCTCTCCTTCTAGTTACCACTCTGTTATCAGTATTATAAGCAGCGGTAATAGTACATATCTGTTTATCATTACAGTCATTATTAGAGATTAGACAAAAAACTGGCTGTAAAAAAAAAAAAAAGGAACCCTTCATTCTCATTATATGTTTTAGTAATAACTTACTTACCTCCTCTGTACTCAAACTTAACCAAATGTGGCATTAGGAATCACATTACAATATCATGTGGTGCCTCTTCTGAACTGTCTCCAAACCTCAGAATATGCTACTGATTGTGTGAAGCCTAAACCAGGCACAGACCTTTCACTTCCCACTTCTGGGATTCTCTTTTAAGGAGCCTCCCAGTAGGAATGTGAGGTTTGGTTGACTTCATCAGTCCTGACTGTTATGTTGATCTTGGCTCCCACCACACAAGATGCCTGACTAGCAAAGCTATGGCTCATCTAAGGCCTTTGCTTTTAAAAAGGTGGTACAGAAGCCACTTAGTCTGACCAAATGTTGCCAAGTGCAGCCTCTTTAGCTACAGCTTACAATCTAAGATAAAACTGTACATATAGGTTTAATGTGATTTGTTGATACAGTGGAAACCGTTTATAGTGATTACAGCAGTAGTGATAAACCACTTATATGCACCTTGGGACATAATCATTCCTATACAAACACTGTTTAAATAATTTGCTTATAATGCTCAAGTAGACTGCTTAACGTCTTCATTTTGGGTCTTTTCATACATGACAGCATATGAAGAAAAAAAACTACAGTATTTCTATTTTTGTTTTTTAACTTTAATCCTTTGCCTCGTGGTAACCCGTCTGCTTCCGGCTGGCTATGTGAGACTGGTGCTGCGTGCACATTGAAATCATCACAGGAAAAAGAAAGTAAATTTCTCTCAATGAAGAACGTAGTCTCCTCGAAGCTTATGACAATCTGCCAAAAACAGGCCAACAAGATTCAGCAGCGAAACTTGGTGTTCTTCGGGCTACCTTGAGTATTCTACTCAAACAACGAGAAACAGTCACGGCTGCTAGTAACAGAGAACGAATGTGCACGGGTAAAGCACCTGTGGTTGGAACCGCCTTCGTCAAGGGGACTTTGGGCGGACCCTTGGTGAGAAAAAGGGCAGAAGACTTGGCAGTGAGCCTAGGAGAGGACAATTTCAATTTAATACAAATGTCAATTAGATGGTAATCTGCATGAGAAATTAAAACAAAGAAAGACAATTCGGTTATAATAATCACCTGCTCATAGTGATCAATTTGACCCACGCAGACGTGATCACAATAAGCGGTTTCCACTGTATTACGAAGTCCTATGAGGGAAAGCAACCATCAACCTATGACTCACGTGTCATGTGGAAGATGCCGTCACAGGCGCTGATATGGGACAGGAAGGCATTTCCCAGGCCTTGGCCAGCATGAGCACCTTTCACCAGGCCAGCAATGTCAACAACATTAAGGAACGCTGGGACTTTGCTGCAACCCAGGAAGTAAAAGAAAAAAAGGTTAAACTATTTAAGACTTTAAACAATATCGTTATAACAATAAACTCTCTCTCACTTTTTTTTTTGGACTTTGTGATGTATTGTTCTAATTGTCAACAAATCCCAAGAAAACAACAAAACCAATATCATGTTATTGTCCTTCTCTTAATACTTTCTGGCTTCCCTACCTGTCAGTTGCACTTGTCAGGCTCAGTAGTTTTGACTGTGTGTGTAAATCTTTTACTACATTTGAGAAGTAAATGGTGCATTTGTTAGGACGGTAAATGTGGGATTTGACTCAACATAAACTACAGTGCCCATGTTAATGGTAATTAAGAAACAGTCACTCTGTCAAACAGTGTGGCTCATTTATGTGTTTTGGGATAACAGTAGACACAGATAGAGTTAACAGGATCAATTCATTGTCGCTTTAGGTCTTTTAATGGGGTAATTTTCACAATAAGTATTATATAGAATACCGCCAGCCCTTAGAGGTAGGTAGGGGTAGACAGGTAGGTACTGTAGAGCTGTAAAATTATATTTTCTTCCATTTTCTTCCATTTTTATGGTTACTGGTGTATTTATTTATTTACAGCACTGGAATCTGTGTTGCATGTGTTTAAGTTACAGCATACAGCAAAAGTAGGACAGAACTAAGCATGAGCATGATAGCGAAATTCATACTGCGCTTTGAAAAGCAGGAGCTCAGTTCTTGTGACTAAAATGGATGCACCGAAATGTTTTGTGAATGCTATTCAACATACCAATTCTTGTCAGTCAAAAAGGGATATGCCGCTAGTAATTTGTCAGTATAGCACGGCAAATCTGAATTCAACCTGCTTTAACAGCCTCTATAAATGTGTATGATAACCAGGTGTTGGAGGTTCAGATGCTTCAGCTTTTTCTTCACCAGAAAACCTTTGGTGTAGAGCAGCAATCATACATCATACAGAACTGGCAGCTACATGTCAACAACATTGTTATATGTTTTCTCATACCAATACCAAGAAGACCGTCAGGGACTACAGATCTGAAGTGTGAATAATAGGTGAACGATGAGACCCCATACCTGGCAGGTTTGTGGAATTGGCAGAGGAAATCATAGCGTTCATCTGGAATGGGCACTCTGCTTTCATTTGGGTCAATGGTGCAGAAGGGGAAATTTTCAGCTGCAGCCTGACTCTTTGTCAGCACGTTGAAAAAGGTTGACTTCCTGAAAATAAAAACAGCAGTGAGGCCAATCCATCTAAAAGTGCTGGTGTGCAGAGCTCGATGGTTCGATAGTATGATGCTGAAATACTTGAAATACTGAAATAGTAAATTATGCAAAATTGTATTTTTTTTATTTTCTGCACAAGAAGGAAACAGGTTATTCTAATAGATTGAATATTTGAGCACTTGAATCAAAAATACTATGCCCAATTACAAGGTCAGATAATCCCATAATAGATCAATTGTACATGGAATCGAGGGGCAAATTACATTTTCTGATAGATCTCAGCTGTTGAACAGGATCAGCCAAACGCCGCCCCATGTTGTGATCAGTGAGAGATTTATTTTCTATGGCACAAGCAGCTCAAGTGTACTTCAAAATCTACAGACAATGGCAAGTGTCTAAGAGTAATAATGGCATGGCAGTTAACTATAATCCAGGACTTTCCATCTTTATCCCCTCACTCGGTGCTTCACATTGAAATGATTGTTTGCTAAGTCCTATAGGAATGAAATTGCTCGAGATTGCTAAAGAGCAGGCATTAATTCGTTATATAAAGCTAGACTGTTTCTCTAACATACTTGAAGGCTATTCTTGGGTCACCTTGGGGGAAACAAAGAAAGACAATCCACATTAACACTACAGTCATCTTCAGGTCTAAAAATATTCTTTGTAATATGAATAATTACAAAGCAAATCAGCTGCTAGAATGCAAATTAGAGCATAATATGCTGGTCAGTAATGAGAAAAGTTTGTGTGTACTGAGAAGTTTGCAGCCAGACGTCTGTGTGTTTTTTACTGGTGGGTAGTAGAAACACCTTCTTAAGGAAGAAGGAGGTCAGTTATATATACACTACTGTGCAATACATTACACACCTATAGACCTATCATGTGACTGAAATTTCATACTCGGGTTATATAATGACAACGTCTGAGGAGCAGGCGGAGCTAAAGGGGTTCCTAATATCTAACTAATGTTTTTTTCTGTCTTGACAAACATATAATTTATACTACTAATACATAAGGAATACATTGTGGGTTTGAAAATACAAGTGAAGAATCCCTTTGGTTGATGTTTATTTCTCCATTCACAACCTGTTTGACCCCATGTGTCCTGGAAGAAGCTGCAGTGTGTCTTGGCCAATGACTTTCTAATATTTCTAATAACGAGGTTGATGGAATATTATTAAAGGGAACAATTAGTTACTTTTAATTAATCACAGTTTTTCAACACACAACAATTAATTAACTCTGCAGTTATAGACGGCAGTCAATAATAACAGGACCTCTCCTGGAACAGGAGAAAGATGAGGAACAGCAGAAGTGCACGCACAGTTTGAATGTGTCATTTTGCAAATCATCACACACATCACATCAATCACATTTTCCCACATAGATTAATTTCATCATAAGGGGTCAGAGTGCAGAGTGTCGGCTACCTGCAATCAACTTATATAGCTCTTGTTATGGTTGATATTTGTATTAACAGCAGTTTAAATCAGAAGATTGCAGATTCTTTGTTTTTCTGGTTGAATGGCTCGTTAATCACAATCATCTCAGTTATCCTCATGCAAGCTGCCTAATTCAGTTTCATAATGACGTTGTTAGATTGTTTCAGTAGCTATCCACTCTGAATAAAAGAAAAGTAAAAATGAACTAATGAGCTAAAGTAAGAAAAAGTTTTATATGTCTGTGGAAAATAATGTATATATACATTACACACACACTCACACACACACACACACACACACACACACACATTTGGGACATTTTGTTCCATATATATATAAATGACGGCAAATGTGGGCATATTAACTTATTACGCATATTAAATAGGGCTTTTGGGACCTTTAAGTTAATAGAGATTCACAAGATACAAGAAGTAATTATCTAGAGATTTAATCGTTCACATTGGCTTCTTAATTTACGTCTCCTACAGAGATGACAAGCGAGTTTCATGAGGCAGACTGAGCTGACACAGTAGGCAAAAGACAGATGCCCATTAAATTCATTTCAGTCTAGGTGACCTGGAGAAGAGTTTTAAGAATGACTCGAGGCAGTTAGGCCATATACTCTGTACCAATAAGGGGTTAAATGGACAAGACTAAACTTTTTCATGAATTTGAGCAGGGAGAATGGCAGTAACTAGAACATGTGCTACAATCTGAGTGTAGCAATAGCTGCAAGGTTGGCTGAATCACACTCTCAAGTTTCCCATGTGTGTGAAGAATGGTCAGTTACGCCCAACTAACAGCAGGCTGGCATCTGAACATGGTTCATTCATGAAAAAAACCATAGGAGGGTTGACAAGTTGTACTTTGACACAAATGTGGTATGGCAGGCCACAACCTCAATGAGTTCTACTTCTTACACCAGGAAGAAATTGTGGTTTTCGCTGGGGTAAGAAATGAAAACACTGGACACCCGAGAGCTGGATCTTTGTGCAATAAGCTCTGAAATCTAGCAAAACAGCCAAGACACACTACATATGTCTGGATCTATACAGAGTGCTTATTTTCCATTATCAATATCCAAATATATGATTAAATAACTGAAATATACCCTGTCTACAGTTAAACTGAAGAGACATCTGTGGCTTCAACTTCACTCATTCAGTACAGTAACTGGATAATCTCTCAACCAATCATGGGCCTTTTCTCTCCCTTATAAACCTGTAGTTTTAAAGTCTTACAAAACTTTCCAGGCTACTTGAAAACAACAGCCCTGTTGAAAGAGACTCAGAAAATGTTTTAAGGAGCTGCTAAAAGATGAGAACCTGTCAGCTGAGCAGAAGATAACCTATCACTGTGGCTCAAAGGGGGCTACAGTAAAGTCATGCAGAGTCTGCCCTGTGATTACGCTCTGTCACTGATGTTGCTGAAGGTCTTGGTAAGATGCTGACAAGGTAGATTTGTCCGACCAGGTTTGACATGCAGACAGTGTGTCAGCCTCCTAACACACACTGCAGCCATGTAGTACAGATTCTTGTCAAGTTGTCCACCTTACCGATAAAGATCTCTCAGACTGTTTAACTCTTTGACTCTCAGTTTGTCATAAAACAGGTTCATATTTCAAAGAAATCAGAATTCAGGTAATTACATAAATGCTCCATCCTTCCTCAACAATCTCACATCAATTCGTTGCGTGACAAATAGACTTTTACATACTCCCCATTTCCTGCATTCATGCCTTTAGTAGTTTGTCTATAAGGTATCATGTCGTTAATAACAGCACCATTTGATACAAAAGTAAGAGACAAGATCCAGGACTCTGTTTTACATCCTGCAAATTAAAAAAAATGATGTAATAAACATACAAGAGTCTGATACGGTTTAGCCACGGTTTAGGATTCCTTTTTAGCTTTAGGTAAACTACAAAAGGTCACAATTGCAACACCAAAGCATGTCTTGCATATTAGGACTGTTCTTGTTTAAAAGGACAAGATGAGATCAATGAAAAATAATGCACAAATAACAACACAACAGAGTACTTTCATTATTTTTTTCAGTGACATTCAATTTCTAAAACTGAATATGTTTTTTTCTGTGGAATACTATTTGATTAATCTGACCTGCAAATAATGTCCTTAATATTTCATTACCTTTACATCATGTACCTGGGAGACTGGGATCTGTTTCAAACAACTATGGGCAAATATCCATGTTGAAATCCCTAAACATAGTACTACAACTTCATGCGGGAGAAATAATGACACAGTTCAGCACTGCTTTGAACACGCAGGTGAATTTCATACAGTTTTTTTCTATGTATTCCCTGTGTTGTGTTGTGGTGGCTCAGTGGTAAGCACTGAAAGTCCTGTGTTTGTGAGTTCATTTTGTGATGTGGGATACCTCTGGTTTCTCCCACGCTTCAGAGACATGCAGGTTAGTTAAACTAGAGGCGCTCCACTGCCCGAGATATGAGTGTGATCTGCGACTGTGTGTGACTGTCTGCAGCATATGTTATTGACTAGAGATCTGACCTTTGACCGGTGCACGCCACGATAAGTGGTAAGTGGGTATTTGTTAATGCTTTTCATTCATTTAACATTCTTCTATGCATTCATAGCAGAGTGGTAGGTCACCTGCTGTCATACAGTTTATTTTCAAATGCAGATAGAGTATGACTCTTATTAATAAGATGTCAAATAAAATTAAACTATTTTCTCTAACTGAAAACAAACTGCTGTAATAATAAAAACCTATATTCATATATCCGACAATACAGGATACAGAATACACACTGTTTGTAGATATACTAAATGTACTGCAACTCTCGGATCCCTCAATCATAACACTCATCTGCCCTAACAGCCTAAAGAAGAAGTAATATTTTAAATATTTGGTAAAAGTTTGGGCTGCTCACACACTTTTATTTAGACATTGAGAAAGTTAAGTTAGAGGGATGAAAGGCTCTTGTGAGATTTGATCCTTGGCTAGTGGGGGCACATGTGGTTGCAGACACTTAACACCCTCAGGATCACTCTTTAAGTTGTTAAGGAACACTCAAAATTTTTCCACGAAACACTCCTGTAAAGAGCAGGATTTTTGGAGTTTTCTGGCTAAATCCAGCGCATCGTGCAACATGACATTTTGCTTGTTTCAATATTAAATCTGCTGTGCATAAGGTGTGAAATCTCCTTTGAACAACTCAAAAAATATAAATGAAGTTGTCTGTCCATTTAAATTCATATCTAAATTTATTTTCTACTCTCTGGTTCTACTGTACTGCTGTACTCGGCTTACCTTACATACATTTATTTATGGCATCATGGAAGGCAGACATAGTTTAGATGTGGACAGAGCACATGCTGGTGGTGCATGCAGTGTGAATGGTAAGAAGGCGACACTATCTATGTAAATAAAAACCCTCTACTTACCCAACATTGGGCAGGCCAACAACTCCTATTTTCAATGAGGTGCCAAACCTTCCAATCAGCGGTGGCGGCTTTGGTACATCATCTCCCTTTCCCTGATAAAGACAATGTGGAAATGTCTGCAGTCAGTACGAGCACTTGCCATTACATAATCTACAATACATGCCAATTACTGAATGGAGCTGTTCCTCATGAAGTGCACCTTCTTTGGAGCCATTTCCCACAGTTAAGTTTTTGCTACAACAGCGCACAAACTCAGAGAAATAAAAACACATTCATTGATAGAAAATGGGCTAAGCTAAGTCATCCAATGTAACCAGTCGACTGCACTTCGAATGGCTCGCTTCCCCACGCTCAAAATAGAACATGCAGCTTCTGGAAATGAAAGTTGACACTGTAAGCTGGCAAGCTGACCTGTACTTCCAAATTTAGCTGTCGATACTATTGATGCAGGTTGATGAGCTGCTATATGATCAATCTTACATAGAACTGTTAGTTGAAAAGTGTGTATTGAAAGCGTAGTTAATCTTTATCAGAGGCTTAACTGTGTTGTCAGCAGCTATTAACATTTGAATCATCTCAAGACAGTCGTCTAACTAAAGACATCCACAAGTTGCATCTCTATACCGACAGCTCGCGAGCAATTTTGCCATTTCCTGCTTCCTACAGCAATAAATCCTTATTGGCAAGCAATTTGTTTCACAGTGCAATTTAATGTATATCAATTCTATTTCCTTGCTGTGGTGTCTATTTACCTGCCATCGAAATAAACCATGACCTGGCGACCTGAAAGTGCAAGTAATAAAAGAAGAAACTAATAGGAAACGGCAGATGAGACACAGACATTGTCATTTAAAGCCACCAACAACAGAATAAAGAGGAGTGTTTTTTATCATCATATTTGCATTTTTACAAAGGAAAACAAAAAATTATACAACCCAAAAATATCTGCAAGAAAAGACAGATATCCTGAGTAAAAGCATCTTGAGAAAATCTTCAAACAGACAACAACGTGCAGCTTCAGCACCACAGAAATAAAGTATAACATCCTTGCACACACGGTTTCCCCCAGCCCCCTTTGAGAGAAACAGGTGTAGCCACACGAGCACACGAAATTACAACAATTAGTTAAATGTCCTCAAATAAACTTCCCTCAGCAGAAATACAAATTAAAGCATGCAGGGGCACAACCAAAAACCATCGCCCAAATCCAGCAGCCTGTCTGGTTTAACATGCAGAAAATGAGGCTCTAATAATCTGGATTTGAGGCAAGTGAGGCTGGCTTTGTAGAAAGAATTTAAATGAATAGGTCTGAATTAATCATTTATCTTTTGTTGATGGATGCACCCCCACTTAGACTCATCACAATAGACGTAGAGCGTTTTGTTCGACCAAATAAATCATTCCCATTGTTTAAGGTACATTGATCAATCTAATGGCTTGTAATAGCCTCCTAATTGCCACAGAGAAGTGCACCCGAATGGAGTCCAGAATTACAGATTCAACTCAAAATTCTCACTTGAATGACAAGGCAAGATCATGTTCTCCTGTTTTGTACCAAGTAAACATCATCTTAAAAAAATCACTTATTTTATTATTGCTGTGACAAATAAATTCCCCTCTATATAAATTTAAGGCAAGGTGTAATACAAAAGGACAAGTACATTTATTGGTGCATGAAGATTGTGTGATTCTTATGTAGATTTCTTTGTTAGGACTTAGAGGCATCATTATTCCAATCTGAACGTCACACTGCTCCTTATTGAGATATAATACAATACAAATAATGATGGAGAAGAGAATATTAACATTTGAACAAACGGACAGAAGACTGTAATATCCATTATTATTATTTTCTTTTATCAAAAAAAATATTGTGAACTTAATTAAGATCTATTGTCTGATATTTTTTTTTTTTTTTCATCAAGGTAAAATGTCCTTTAAACTCTGCGTTTATTTCCATTCAACGCTGGAATTAATTTGACTTCTACAGCAATAATCAACTTTGTTTATGTAGAATAGAGATTTAACACAGTTAACAGCACTCTGACAAATTGGCATGATTGCAAAACTGATTCCATTTTCTTGGCAGCGCTCAGTATTTGATGAGACTGATTTTTATTCACCCTTCCAAAGGTGGGGTTTTAAAGCAAAAAAAAAAAAAAAAGAGTATTTGAACAAATTGCGCCTGTGTTGACTGGCAGCATTCACACTCTATAATGGAGCATTATTTGCCCATTTTGAATACTGTAATGCACATCTTTCGGTCAAGCCTTTCTCTGGAAAATTGCTTTAACTTTTAAAGGGATGGTGATTCACGTCAGAGCAGGTCAATTTTACATTATGCCATTATCCCTGGGCGTTTTAACAAGCTATGGAAGATGCCGGCTTATTGAATTGAGATATTAAAAGAAAGAAAAAAAATAATAGAATCGCAAGTTTAGGGGAAATTGTTGAAACGCGGCATCCTCTTAATTGTCCACGATTTAATCAAATGACTGATTAGTTTGGCATTACATTTTATTTCTCAGCTCCGAGCCAGGCACCGTGCGTCCTGTTAAATCGGTTTAATGGAGCTGACTGGCGGCCTTACAGCAGCAGGTATCCCGCGGACGCTCCAAAACTTTTTTTCCGCCTATAAAATACTTCTCTTTTTAAACACGTCTACTACACGCGCTGATAAAGCGAGCTGTCATTTTTAATTAACCCCTCACCTGCACTCCCCCAACAAGTAAGCAGAGGCGGGGGGGAGCCGCGCTACTAACACGGCCGCGCGCAAAAAACTGTACCACATCGCACGAGCGTGACGCAAGTAACGCGCGAAATATTTTTGGCTGAAGTAAACAAACTGTTTGGATTGTTGATCAATTACGATGTCCTAATCTGTTTTCCTCATGCACTCAATCGTTTTACAGGCTTTCTCTAAATGTTCTCGCCGCGGTTGGAGGAGTGAGGTCTGGGCCCTGTCAGGGCCTGGTTCTTGACTTTCTCTACAAATCTTAATCAGCTGTGGTCGCTAACCCCTCTCCCCTCCCCCCCCAATATCGTAACACGGCTAGCGCTTCGAAAATGTAAGATGGAGCATAAAAACATCAGTTGTTTCCCCTCCGTGCGTAAAACCGAGCCGGTGCCTGGCACACAGCAAGCAATGCACCGGCGTGATAAAGTCATCAGCAAACAGCAGCGTCCCTCACACTGATCAGGATACTATGTGCTTAAATAACAACTATATCTCAATGACGTGTTGCGCATGATCTGGATACTGAAAATCAGAAAAAGGGGAAACCTGGAAGCACACAGTGTCACCACAATCCACAAACGCTTTACAATGACGGAAAAAGCTTACCTCTCGGAGAACTGACGTGTGAACTCAATTCTGCAATGAAAGGAGACATTGAGCCTTCGTGTGAGAATACATAAAAATAACTGTATGCATTAAAAAAAATACCAAATCGTGTCTTGTATGACAGTCTGAGCAGAGGCTGCACAACAGATGATTGACGGCAGGGTTTTTGGTGTTTCTGTCTGCGGTCGGGTCTCTCATTGGCTGACTTCATCCTCAGCCATGAATGCGGCCATTAGATTGGCTGCGCGTCCTCGCCAGCTGTACTTCAAAGAACACGCTCTCTACAACTAGGTAGTGTTGGGAGCTGCGAGCCAAGAAAGAAACCGTGTGACCCGAGTCAAACACGGTGAGTCTGAGTCAAATTGGAGCCGTACAGCATTGCAATCGCGAACACTCTCATCACAGCACAGACCCTGGATATGGCTACGTCTATACTTGGGGTGAGTCTGACTTTGTATTTGTGCGCAAAAGTTGTGCGTAAAGTTATTGTAGCCTGCTTTTCTCTCCAACAGAAAGTGTTTCCTGCTCTCATAAACTCATGCTTGCTTTCAAGTCTGCAGTAGTGGTTTATTGCTGCCTTATTTACAGTTTATTTGCCTGTTTCTGTTGTTATCTATCATTAAAAATAAACAGTTAAATGCCGATAAAGTACAAATCTAACCAGCTCCCATCCAACTTTATGTTGTTTTTAGTATTTTCTCCCCCTCGTATATTCACAGCTGATATCGGACGCAGTTTATATTCTACAAAAGTTTGTAAAAATGTTTAATCATTATTACTGTTTTAATGTTATATGCTACGCTTGTTGCCCCTCTCTCCAAACACGTTTATCTAAGCTCGAATTTTACTTTTAATAATGAATTATCGTTATAATGTATTTGCTGAAGTCCTGTTTTGTTGTGAATCGGTCGCCCACTTCCCAGCTATCTGGGTTAAACGAAAAACCTTTGCTGCTGCCTGTTTTAAGTCCAACTTCTGTGTGTGTTTTTTTCAGGAAGAACCACGGTTTGGAACTACACCTCTAGCAATGCTGGCTGCAACTTGCAACAAAATTGGCAACACCAGTCCCCTTACAACTTTACCTGACTCGAGCGCTTTCTCAAAAGGTGGATTTCATCCGTGGAAAAGATCCTCCTCCAGCTGTAACTTGGGATCCAGCTTGCCCGGTTTCACGGTAGCAACAAGCCGCGCGTCGACAGGACTAACACCGACCAGTGGCACAGGCAACAGCGCCTTTTGCTTAGCCTCCACCTCCCCGACGTCGTCTGCGTTTTCCACAGAGTACAGCGGTCTGTTTTCCAACTCTGCGAGCGTCACATCCCAAGAGTCTGGACAGTCAGCTTTTATCTCCAAAGTCCACACATCAGCAGAGACTCTATACCCGCGGGTGGGCATGGCGCACCCGTACGAGTCGTGGTACAAGTCCGGTTTCCACTCGACCATCTCTGGCGATGTTGCCAACGGCGCGTCCTCGTGGTGGGATGTCCACACTAACCCCGGTTCGTGGCTCGATGTCCAGAATCCTGCAAGCACCCTCCAGACCTCACTGCACTCCGGGACGCCTCAAGCGATCCACTCCCAGCTGAGTGGCTACAACCCGGACTTTTCCTCGCTGACCCACTCGGCGTTTAGCTCCACTGGAATCAGCCCCTCTGCGTCTCATCTACTGTCCACCAGTCAGCACCTGTTAACGCAGGACGGTTTCAAAACGGTCATCCCCACTTACACAGACGCGTCCGCCGCCAACGCCATGATTTCTGGGGGCAGTTCAGGAATAAGTAGCTCCTCGAGGTCGTCCAGGCGGTACTCCGGCAGAGCAACATGTGACTGTCCGAACTGCCAGGAGGCCGAGCGCCTGGGACCCGCCGGGGCCAGCCTGCGGAGAAAGGGACTCCACAGCTGCCACATTCCCGGCTGCGGTAAAGTGTACGGAAAGACATCTCACCTCAAAGCGCATTTGAGATGGCACACCGGCGAGCGGCCTTTTGTCTGCAACTGGCT